CAGTGCGGGCCTTGGGCCGCTGGCAGAGCCAGACGATGGCTGGGGGTGTGCAGTTGCTCTCCTACAAGAGAGTGAGGGCCACAGAGTGACTGGCAAACTTCCTGCTCTGGGTGCTGTTCCTCCAGCGTCAGTGACCAGCACAGCTGAGAGGTACAGTTTGTAACTCGGTCGCTCCTTCGTTGGTTTCCTGGCCCCTCTCAGCGCCATCCCAAGGAAAAGGGAGAATCGGGAGGGTGGACGGTGGCTCCTCAGCTTGGTGATGACTCTCTTTCCTGCCTGCTTGGATGCCAAAAATGCAGGAGAGGATGCTCAGGGTCTCCCAGGACAGAGAGGACCTGGCAGATGCCCAGGGAGCCAACAGATGGGGCTGGGAGGTAAGGACCACAATCGCTTCAGACAAGGGCTGAGCTGCTTCTTCCCCAGAACAGTGGGCTGTGGGCCACCAGGTGCCAAGACCCAGGCTTACTGGGTTCTTTGTCCACAGTGACAGGTAGAGGGTACCTACTAGGTGGATAACAAATGTGAGATTGAATTTGTTGAAATTGTGTGCTGTGTTTGCAGTGCAAACATAGCCTGCTTGTGCAAAGGGCTCACGGAACACTTTGAGTGCAGCGGAGCCTGGCCACGAGTGTTTGGGATGGGGGCAGGCAGGGGTGACCACAGCGGCCACACAAGACCAACATCTGCACCTACCTTTCCTGCATCCGACACGCTGTCTCCTGCAGGCCTCCCTCTCCCACGTGCAGGTCTTTCCATGTCCAGGCCTCCTCACCTCCTCTCAGCTGTGTCTTGCTCCCTTCTTTGCTCCCAGAGTCGTAGTCCCCAGTGATACCAGTCTCTGGGGACAGGGGAACACAGTCACGGGAGGACTGGTCCCGGGGTCTGCCTAGCAACTGCCACCTTGATCATCCATCCGTTCATTTCTCAGCAACATTTACCAACCCATCATTCACCAATTCTATCCATTTTATCTTAGAAACACATCGAAAGCACTTTGGGTCCATTCTTTTCAAATCGACTTATGCAAAGTTTACAGAACGGCAGATAGAGGCCTACTGACAACAAAAGGCCAGTTTTGAGTACACTTGTGTTGCCCCTGCCATGTTGCATGCCCTTGAGCAGAAGCTGCTTTCACTCCTGAGCCCTTTCCTGCATACAGCACCCTGACACCTGCTATGTCTAAGGAAAGGTTACTGATTAAAAAAAAGAAAAAGAGGAAGTCTCCCTTTAAGCACAGGAACTGTGGGTAACTCTATAAGTCATATAATCCAGAGTATATACATCAAGCACCTTGAATTTTTTCATATTACAGATCTAAGAAATGAAACAATTTGTCCTTTCAGAAGATAGTAAGTTGACTTCTGTATCCAAATATACTTTTTAGTTAAAATACCTTGACTGGTTTATTTATTTATATTGATTTTTTTCAAACAGGTTCTCACTGTGTATTTCAGACTGGCCTTCAACTCACTATGTAACCTACACTGGCCTCGAAATCCCAGTGATCCTTCTGCCTCAGCCTACCATGTAGTAGGATTATAGGTGTTCACAATCATGCCCAGCACTCACCGATTTTGAAATGTTCATATTTACAAAATCTCTTTACCCAGTTTTATAGGCCATGTTTTTTTTCTTCTACCTTTGCCTCCTTCTCTTCAATTCATAGAAATCTAGAACTTTAGGGTTTGCAACAGCAACCCAAGCACGGACATTCCCATCACATTTCAGACTCCTGACACATCACCTGGAGTTAAGTCACTCTACCTCAGGTACGCTCAGTTCAGCTGCAACTCGAACTTGCTGTCACCAGCCACCCTGCCTTCCCATTTGTCCTGGCCCACAGCCTCTGCCACAGACTCGGAGACCAAGCTTTTACTGCCGCTTCCCTGCGTTTCTCTCTGTATACCTCTGTGCCTGCTGACAGACGTGTGGGACAAAGTCCTGCGGTGAATTGCTCGCTCCATTTCATATTCACAGCTTTTCTTCCTCTCCAGGCAGCCATCTGGAAGATTATTGCCTGGACAATTCAACTGGTCTTTCCTCTGTAAATATAACTTGATCATGAATCTTCTCCTCTCAGGAGTCCTCCTCAATTCCACGCGCACAAGAGAAATGAATGCAGTTAGCAACTTCTTTACTTTGGGTCCACATCCCCTGTCCTTGGCTAGTGTGGCTCTGGAGCTGAGTCCCCTGAACACTTCTCCTTTGCCTGGCGTGCGTGTTCATTTTTGTCAGAAGAGGGCACTGGAGAGACCAGCAGGAAACGCAGGCCTCTCTTTCTGGCCCTGTGCACTTGGCTTCCTTCTGGGCCCTGTAGACAGGGGCTCCTCTCCTGGGCAGGACACCCAGCCCCAGTCACCACCAGGATTGTTTATGGTATCCAGTGGCCATGGCAGCTTCCAAATGTGTCAGGGGGTGCTCCAGCTGCGCTTCAGGGGGCTCAGCACCCTCTCTTCATAGGCGGCTGCCCAGGGAAGTCAGGAGCATCACAGCCTGATCTCCATGGGAGCAACCTCTCCGAGAGTCTTCCCAGTGAGCTAAGTCTCAGGCCCTCACTAGGTCTGCTCCGGCAGTCAGGAGCACTGACTGTTCGTACTAGGGTCGAACAAAAATGTGGGGACCCTTGTCCAGAAATGATTAAGGCTTCAGCGTAGTGGGAGCAGAGCATTCATCCAAGAACACAGCCCTTCGAAGGGCTCTGAGCAACTGCATAGCCCTCACGCCCAGGAAGTCAACGGTTTGCTAGGGAAAGTTACATACCCAGGGCATGGAAAACACTTACACTGTGCCATGAAACTCGAGCTTGGCTGCCTAACGAGCTATGAGGACTACTTAGAGCACTAGGGGAAGGTATTCATTCAAATATCTACACTAATATAGTAAGTGGAGAGGCAGCCATCTGGAAGAATATTGCCTGGACAAAATGGGAAACTGGCAATCCGGGGGATGCCCCTGCATAAAGGACAATGCAGCCCCGGATGCTGTGCGAAGAGTTACCACCCAGGACTTTCCCAGGCCTCTCTCGCTGCTTTTCCTGTTTGTTCCACCAGACCAAGGTTGGCTGGAAACCACAGAGGCCTCACCGTCACGTTGTCACATTGTCACTGTTACTTTGTAGCTATTCAGGAAGTACAGTGGTACCAGGTTTCTGTGAAAGAGAGGGGTAGGAAAAGTTAGTTCTAGCTATGACCTCAGTCTAAAGCTATTGTTTCTACATGAGAGATTTTAGTTCCTGTTCCTCCTCATGCCCGGCAGAAGCAGAAGTACCGGGGTAGAATGTCAGCTAGAGACATAGCACAAGGGCATGCCAGGGTGGAGCAGAAACTTAACCTGAGATCAAACTGCACCAAGTATCCAAAAACCAGAAGTCCCTGGAAGCACAGACTTGGGCTGGGATACGGAGAATCAGTTTGGAACCAAGTCACAGAGACCCGAATCCTGAAGCTCCAGGGTTTAGGCTGTACTTTGAAAGCAGAAGGCACTGCCACAAGTCTCTGGGAAGTGACTAAGGCTGGCCCGCTAGCAAGTAACTTCCCAAGAGACAGAAACAATCACGCTGAGAGGCCTCCAAGCTGCTGTAAATTAGGACCCTGCTGTCCCTAAATGGAGAACTATGTGAGGCGGGTGGCAAGGTAAGGGAGGCTGAATCAGTCCCTAGATCTGCAGATTCCACTCCGAGGTTAGGATCCCTGGCACTGGGACTCAGCAGCTCCTGTGCTGACTCTGATAGGGGCCAGCTTTGCAAATCACCCATCTGGGTGACACCCAGTTGCCTGCCTTTTCCTGTGCCAAGACTGGAGGCACTGGGCATGACTTCAGACATCGCTGAGGGAGCCCCAGTGGCCCAGAAGGAAGCAACGGGAATGGGAATTGTCGGCAGTTCAGAATGGGAAAAATGACTGCTGGAAAACATCGCCAACACGGAACTCAGAGGGTTTCCCTAGTCATCAGAAGTGAGTAATTAAAAGTGAGAGCAGAAGATGAAGAGGCAAGGACGACTGTAAATGATTAAGCCGTGAACAGGGCGGTAAAAACATATGCAAGGAAAGGATTCGCTTCGATTTAGTCCTCCCACTCTCTGCTTCATTCAGATCCAGTGTCTGTGAGTGTGATCACCGCTAGCTACAGCAGCGATCTTCCACACCTTCCAAACAATAGTCACAGGCTCCCTGCTCCACACGTAGGCCTCGTCTAATTTTCACTAAGCGGTACTCGAACCTCACCCTGTGTGCCAGGTGCTGGGCTACAAGTGCACTTGCAGGGTCGCATGCAGTCCACAAACAGCCCTGAACAAGTGCTGCTGTTCCCATGTAACAGGCGAGGAAACTACAACTTGGAGAAACAAAGCACCTTGCAGGTCCTTTATTGAAAAGGCAGAGATTCAGACCCAGGCGTCGGCTTCAGAAGACAGGCTCTTGCCATTGCACTGCCCCAGAGGTCTGCTAAACAGTGGTCAAATTGGGGCACAAAAACGAAGCAACCATGAAGCACAGTCTGTCTAGAGGTTTCAGGCTGGTGAAAGACCTAAGCTGTCACTGAAAACACTGCCTAATACCCAGACAGACTGCTCACATGGAAATGCTTGACTTCTCTGTTTGCCTTGGAAGACACGTTCAGATGGTGCAACGTGTGTTTGTTATGCTAGAACTTTCTCTCTGTGCCCTTCTGGTAAACGCGGATTACTGCAATGTGCCCTGCCAGGGCTGTCAGGAAATGAAGGCACACAGTGCCAGTGCTTGCCATCTGCCCTCGTCCAGCCACTGTGTGACTCCAGCTGACAGTGAAGGGAGGGCTCTAACCCTTTCCTCGGCTCAGACTCACAGTCAGATACCACTGTGCAGTCACGTTTCGCAGTGGAAGGTTCCACACTTCCCGCAGTTCAGAGGCGGTGTGAAGCGGCCTCTCCCTGACCACCTCTTCACCCACCTGGTCACATCACATCCAGGTGTCGTGTGTAGGATGACAGCAATCCCCGTCTGGGTACTCCGCTTGCACTATAAGTGGGAAAAAACCCAACTCGACTCATTCAATGCAAGCAACACTTTACTCCGTGCTGAGCTCACCTTCCTGCAAATTGTTCAAAGATAAGCCTCAAATCTATGTTCTCTCCAAATGGAAACTTTCATCCGCTTTTACATTTCTTAGCAATAGAATGTGCTACAAATGGGCAGCAGTCTGACAACGACAATCTGGTTACATAGTGCAAATGACACAAGCGCTGGCTGCGGTCTTGATTAGGACCCAGCTTTCTTTTATTATGGCTTTCAAAAACAATGCTTAAAAGTGCACGCTTCTCTTGGCCCACTCTGCTTAGGAAGAATAGTAGGTTTCTTCTTGACTAGTGAATTACTCAACTGTATCGAGGTTCAATTTTAAAATGTCAAATAAATACGGGGCAAAGACTTTAGATCAATTTAGAGATGGGAAATTTTATTTCAATCTCTAATTTGAATCTTTAGTATTCCACTTATTTTATGTTAATTCTGTTAACTTCAGGGTTATTTTCAGTAATTTGTAGACTGACGTAGAAAAGATTCAAAAAGAATTCAACTCAGGTTAATAACATTATCTTTATGAGGTACAAAGCTTCTGCTCCCAGCACAGGAGCCTTAGTGGGAAAGAAGTCCCCCCAATCCACTGTGCACGAGCAAATAATACTGCACTCCAAAGAAATACTACACAGCTGTAACATTCACCTCTGATGCCAGCAAACGAGGACCAACTCCTTCACGATGCAACTTCGGTTGAAAAAGGCCGAGGTCACAGACCACACGTGCCAAGGGCGCAGACACCGACAGCAGCAGGGTCCGTCCCCTGGGTGCGGCTTCTCTTCAGGTCCCCACTGCATTCTGAAGATTCAGGAGCCCGATTCAGTGTTTTTTCAAAACTTCTTCCATTAGGTCTGCTGAGACCAGAGATACCGATCACATTTTTCAAGCATGCTTTGTATCAAGGCTCTGAAATTCCAAAGGGGGGTAAAAACCAAACAAATTTAGCTACACATTCATTCTTCACAGAAGACTTAAAAATCTACAGAGACTGGAAAGAATTCAAACAGTAAACTGAACCTGTGCATTAGCAAACATATTTTGATGATAGTTTCATTTGGGGCGGGGGACTTGAACTTGGAACCTTGTGCTTGCGAGGCAGGCGGCGGAACCACTGAGCAAAATCCACGGCCCAAAAAGACATATTTTGAAATGAATGTGTCTGAAGACAACCTATGGAATGGTAGAAAAGAACAACTACCCTGAATTTTAAAAAGCTAAAAGGAATTGAATGGTTATTTCTCCAAAGATACTCTATAAACAGTCAACAAGGCAATGAAAAGAAGGTAGCATCACTAATCATTAGGAAGATGCAAACAAAACAACAAGATCCTATCTAATGCTCATTAAACAGCTAGTATTCTAAAGATACAAAAATGGGGGCCAAAGTAAACCACTCCTAAAAGAAAATAGGAAGGGAAAAACAGAAGAATGGACGAAAGGAAGGTATCTGAGTTACTTTACTGTTGCTGACATACAACACCCAACACCCACAGTTAAAGGAGGAAAGGCTTGTTTGGCTCACAGTTCTTGGAGGTGTCAGTTTACAGGTTGGGGGCTCCAAGGCAGGGTGGCATCACAGAGGAGAAACACTTCAAGGTAGAGGCAGTAAAGAGCAAGCAATAAGCAACAAGCAATGACCCTGTTTCTGTCCTTTGTATCTTAGTCAGACAAGCCACTCTTTAGGACAGGTAGCACTCACACCCTTAATTCTAGCATCACATTCTTGATCACAGCCTCACACACCCTAGGCACAGCCTCCTCCAAAAAGCCCCACCTATGACTGCACGAGGCTTTGAGGGGACACCTAGACACAAGTCCCAGCAGGTGCAAAATAAAGTTCAAGAGAGAAGGCTGGCTAGGACACAGAGAAACCTGAGCCCTTGTGCACTTTTGGTAGAAATGTAAAATGGTACAGCCATCATGAAGACAATGGAAATTCCACTTCTGTGTGTGTATCCAAAGAAATGAGAGCAGGGTCTTGAAGAGATAATTGAACACCCATCGTCACAGCAGCACTGTACACAATATCCAGGGGGGAAACAGCCCGGGTGCTCACTGACGGATAAAGGGTAAATACACGTGGTATATACCTACAGCAGAGTATCACTGAGCCTGACACTTGCTACAGCACGGATGAACGCTGCGACACTCTGCTAAGAGAAACAGGCAGTCACAGACAGACTGACACAAGCTGAGCATATCTACTCCAGAAATTCAAAACTTCTAAGGAAATTTGGACTTTGCCTCATTTCACATTTTAGATTTTCAGATTAAAGATGCTCAACCAGTAAAGTTTATGTACATATTTGAAAATCCAAGAAACTGTGAAACCTAAAACACTTCTGGTCCCAAGTCCTTTGGACAAAGAATACTCAATCAGTACAGTAGGAGTGCACGAAGATGATGTGTCTAGGACAGGCCAAGTTTAGGAATAAGAATGATGGATTCAGGACTGCGGATTTAGCTCAGTGGTTCCGCTGCCTCCCTGGCAAGCGCAAGGTCCCGAGTTTGATCCCTGGTATCAAAAAGAAGGAAAACCTAGAATGACGGTTTCCAGGGATTCAGGGAAGGAAGAATGAAGCGCCGATATTTAATGGATACAGGGCTGGAGTTTGCAAGGGCAAAGCTCTGGAGATTGGTTTCACAACAATGTAAATATACTTGACATAACTGAACTGGAAACAAGATGATTAGATGATGTATTTCATGTTATGTGATTTTCTTTTTCTTTCTCATTTATTACATATATTTTACCACAATGTTGCACAGAAATAAACTTTGACTGAGGCAATTAGTCATCCGGTGTAAATAATATTCCTAAAGAACTAAATAAGGGGCAGAGGATTTAGCTCAGTGGCCCCACACCTGCCTCGCAAGTGCAAGGTCCTGTGTTCAATCCCCAATATGAAAAAAACAAAACAAAATAAAAAACTAAACATATATACTATCTGGGTATTCCCATTAAGCCTGAGAGTAGCCCAGTCATGATCCTGAATGAAGTATTACTGCAGCCTCTTCAACAAATTCTCCAGATGACTCTGTCTCCTCTTCTGCTAAGAGGGGCCCAGGCTGTGTGATCTCTAGAGTCCCACCCTCCTCTGAAAGTCTAGAAGACAGCAGGACAAACTGCATTACCTCTGCCTTTTCTCAGCAATCCTCAGGATATCACAGGTTCTAGTAAACTTCTCCGACAACTCAGGGGCCACACCACATTCCTGTAGCAGTGACCAGGCACGATCCGGGCCCACGGACTTAGCTAACAAGAGAGCCACATTTTCCATGCTGACTGGGGAAGACCCATCACTGACGCTCCCATTCTGTGATTCCCGGGTGGCTGTCCTTGGGCTCTTGCTCTGCAGGAGATGGAGGAGAAATTTCCATTCCTCCACAGTCTCAGGGATCCAACCTGCACAGACACAGACATAAAGTTGGCTCTGACCACTGTTTCTCTTTTGTTGGTACTGGGGATTGAACCCAGGGGTATTCTTCCACAGAGCTGCATCGTCACATTTTAATTTTTCTTCATTAAAATTTTTTTTTAAAAGATAGGATATCACTGACCCCGCATGGTGGCACATGCCTCTAATCCCAGCACTCGGGAGGCTGAGACAGAAGGATTGCTGTGAGTTCGAGACCAGCCTGGGCCACATAATGCCAGATCAGTCTCAACTACATAGTGAGACCCTGTCTCAAAAATCCAAAAAAAAAGATAGGATGTCCTTAAATTGCCCAGGCTGGCCTTGAACTTGTAAACTTACTGCCTTAGCCTCAGAAATAGCTGGTGAGAGAGGTATGTGCTACCATAACCACTCTTACCTACCGCCTACACACAGAAGGTGGTCAAAACTGGGATAATATTTAATATCAAAACCTAAAAATATCTTAAAAACAATCTCACTGCCTTAGCACAAGGTTTTCTGTACATCTAATGAATAAACAGTTCAGAACACACAGAAATCATACAATTAACTTCAATGTTTTGTCACTCACACACCAAGTGAGATCGAATAGCACACCCTGGGAGGGGCACTGGATTCCCACTGATGAGCAAGACAGACACAATGCCTACAGTCTTTACACTCTAGTAAGAAAGAATGTAAACATCTGAATACGCATATACTTACAAACTGTGCTGAAACTACACTATGAAAGAAAAGAACAGAAATAAGAGAGGGAATAGCTGTTTTGGTTTGTAAGGCCTGGGCAAAGCTGTGAGGAAATGGCATTTAAGCCCCAAACTGAAAGATAAGCTCAGAGAACTTGGGGACGTGGCCCACAGAATGGATTCACTGCAGCAGGGAGGATCAGGAAGGGGGAAGGAAAGAACTTAGTGAGTTCAAAGAACTGTTTCAGCCCAGAGCGCACAGACAGGAGTCAGCAGCGGGCAGCAGGTGAGCGGCACAGGCCTCGCCCACCAGGTTTAGAACCTGAACTGTGTTGCGAGTTCATTGCCAGGGCTTTCAACAAGGGAAGACACCCACTCTGATTTTTGTTTAAAGGAACCATTCTGACTGCTATGGGGAAAGCAGGTTAAAGGTAGGCAAGAATGGAAGCCAGGTTACCCGTTATGAGGTCACCTCAGCAGTCCAGGCAAGCAGCTAGGATCACAGTGCTGGGTGGCAGAGTAAAAGAAAGCGATAGGAAACAAGAAGCAAGACCTGTCACGCAAAGGTACAAGATCCCAACGAAGAGTGTGACTGTAATGTTTGCTTTACATGCACCGATAAACTTAATGGAAAAGAAAAAGCGATAGGAGGTATGTTTGGCACTAAAATCATTATGTTCCTCATTTGGAGACAGAAGTGTAAAGAGAAGACGCCTTTAATACATCAGGGTAAGAATAACTTGATTAGTACAATTACTGTAACAGACTATTGAGAGAACTTTTATGTGGGTGATGAAGATTTTAGCTGATATATATCTACATTTGCTATGTTTCCTGAATTTTCCATTTTTTCCCAACGCAAACACATGTGTGACTTTGAAAATACAAACCACTTGTATCTTAACTTCCTTTTCTGTGTTTTTCTTTCTTGATTTTTTCTTTTTGTACCAGGTATCAAATTTGGGCCCTTGTGCTAGTGAGGCAGGAGGCAGAACCACTGAGACAAATCCCAGGCCCTATATCTTAATTTACCTGGTTACTTTTCTTTTCCTTTTTGGTCCCGGGGATTTTAACTCAGGGCCTTGTGCTTGAGAGGCAGGCATGGTGCCACTGAGCTAAATCCCTGGGTTACTTTTTCAGGAGACTATGCACACCTATAGTTCTAGTCCTTCAAAACATTTCTGGAACAAAGAAATCTCAGTCATTATAGCCATAGTGGCGATGTCTGGAGCTGACCCTCCCCTGCTGGCTCTTGGCTAACTCTGTCTGACTTGACCTCTCCATGCCAAAGGGCTAAAAAAGGCCTCAGGGAGAGGCCTGGTCTTTCTGTGACAGGCGTGGGACTCCGAGAGTTGGCACCTCCTTGCGCAGAACACAGCCACACTGTGACAGTGGCTAAGGCCACCCCTCTGAGTGCAGCACGGACTCTCAGGCTTCAGCTACCGGTGTCCAAGTCCTGCCTCTCATCAGTGTGGCACCAATGAGAATTCAAAAGTAAAAAGCGTCAAATGGCTGTGAAGAGCTGGGGAATCTGACTGCTATTGCACTTTAAATTCATCTTCCTGAGCCCTAACTTTGGACTGCTTATTAAGGCAGCACGATGAAGGAAGGAGCACACTTGATCTAGAGCAATTGATCTAAGAAAATGACACTGAAGGCCACTCACCAATTAGGAGGCACATGAGCCTCATATACTTTATAAACTCTACAATCCATAAAATATCAGTACATTTCTTCTCCAATATGCAAACTGTGGAAATTCTCCTGGTGTCCCGGCCTGCTCCAATGGCCATCTAGCAAGTCCCACTGCACTCTCCTTTGAGATCCCCTTGGCGTGCTCCTTCTCAGCCCAGGAATCCCTGAGGAGCACCACAGCCTCCCAGCAGGCTTTGCTGCGTCCACGCCTTGTGTGTGACAACAGAAGTGTTCTCCAGAGGATCCACTTTCATTTTGTCATTTCTGGACCACAATACCAGTATTCTGGAGGGGATTTTGAAAAGCTTACGCTGAGTAAAAACTTAAGTAATATTTCTGATATAAATATCAGTGCTTTTTTTTTTTGCTAATTCTTATTTTAAACCCTAAATCAGATTATACTAGAATCTTTTGGCAGATTTTTAGACAATACTCACACACAGGTTTCTTTTTCTAACACAGGTTTACTCATTAAGGGGTGTGATGTGGGTCTATAAGAGAGCTGTAAGGAGGTCAGTTCATCTCTGTAAAATATGCAAATTGTTTTGTGAATGTGCATTTTTCTGGAAGGAATAATCAGATTTTTAGAGTGGTTTAGAACCACTAAGAAGTACACATAATCTCATTACTATGACTTGGTTCTGTCTCTCCCATTGTTGTACCTTAAGTGTTCGTAAAGGTGACGGATGAAGGGCTGGCCTCTCAGGTTCACTCTGGGGGCTTTATAGGGCGGCAGACAGTGTCCGGGTTGTGCTGCCCTGTGTGGAACAGTGCAGCAGGTGTTCATGGCGGTATTTATTTAATCTTACTCAATAGAACGAGCCATACAGAGGCTTAAGCACAGCTTTATGTAGTCCAAATCTTACCGAAGACTGTTATGTCTGCTTACCATTCTTTAAAGCTCAGTTGTTAGCAGTGTGAGGGACACATGACAGACTCTCGGTCCCTTCTCCTTCCTTTTTCCAAAGTCTGAGGAATGGGCCTGAGGTGTGGCTTGGGTATCGTGACTTTCAGCTTCTTCCCCGTGGATCAGAACATCTATCCACAGCTGAGAACCATTGCTCCAGAGCTTCCCCAAGCAATCACGAGATCAGAAGGGTCTGTTAGAAGGGACAGAGGCACTCAGGTCTCAAGATGGTCTCTCCTTCCGCAAGACTGTTCTTAGGAAGCAGCGTAGAAGAGCTGCGGGTCGGCAGCCTTGCCCTGGCTCTGCCGCCTTGCTCCTGGAGGTTCCTAAGGATACGCAACTTCATTCTAGAACTGCAGTTCTGGGTTGGGCAATGTGCTGGCCAGGAGACACTTACAATGTCTGGAGGTGTTTGGTTGTCCTACTGGGGGAATCGCCGCCAGCGTCTAGGGGCCAAGGCCAGGGCTGCTGGATAACATCCTAACATGTTCAGGACAGCCCTACAAACAAAGATGCATCTGGCCAACACTTCAATGTGCCGAAGAAGAAATCATGTTCTATCATAAGATATAGCTCATGGCAGTGCAATGTGCAACCAAACACAGCAAAATGTACCCCTAATGACTAGCATTAAAGTTCCTTGGAGAAGTTGATTATGTTCTTCTCAACCTTTGGTATCTCAGTTTGCTATATTCCCAGGCTGAGATCTTGTTTTTTAAGTTTCTTGATTCTTCCCTAAGGAGTTGGTTGTCAGAGTCTTTGTGTTCAGCTGTCGCCCTTTTCCCCTTTTCTGACCCGGGTGCTTGAGACACAAGCTTACTCTGTCGGGAGAGAAACCATGTACCAAAATTCAGAGAGATAATTCCATGTCCCGGGGGAACTATGATGTTGCCCAAAGGGGACTTGGAGGTGTCTGGGCCATGGACGTGATTGGGTAACACAGTTTCCTGGGGGTGCCAGGCCTGAGGGAGCAGAGGATGATTGTCTTAGGAGATCAGGATGAAAGGGACCCTAAAGCATCTGTCAGGCCGTGGCCCTTCCTTCCACGCCTCACTCCATCCTCTCTATCTGTTCCCCAGGCAGGGCCTGTGCTGCCAGCAGAGCCAGAAGGCAGCCTAAGATGTGTGATTCCACTCCAGGTGGAGAAAGGGAGGGAGCCAGAATGATTTCAAACCTCTCTGGCGCTGCTCATCCAGTGAGCAGCCTGGGCTGGGTAGGGCTGTGCCAGGCAGGGTCAGCCCCTTAGCCCTTCCTTCTTTGCCTCTGTGGCTCCTCTGAGAGTGAACCCTGGAGAACAGGCGGAATAGAGAAGATAGACTTACTTGGCTCATCCACCTGGTAGCGATTCTTCTTCCTTCCCGCCCCATGGATGGTGCCAGAGAGGATTTCCAGAGACCCATAGGCCACGGAGCCCAGTCCACGAAGCTGATGCAAAAGCCCACACCTGGGCCACAAGTGGCCATTTCCCGGTCTCTTCAGATCTGCTGACCTGCTTGAAGGCTCGGTCTCCAGTGCAGCAGTGTTCAGAGCAGGGTCTTGGAGAAGGTGACTGTGCCATCAGCAGATTCAACCACTGAGGGGTTCATGACGTGATTGCATAATGGAGAGAGGGTGGAAACTTTGGAGGCGGGGCCTGTGTGGAGGAGATGGGCCACCAAGGGCTGCCCCAGAAGAACACATTTTCTACGCCCAGACTCTTTCTTCTCTCAGGCATCGTGAGGTGAGCAGCTTTGTCCCTCCATTCACTCTCTGCCATGCCACTCAGCCTCTCCTCAGGCTCATAGCAGGGGACCAAGCCACTGTGGAATGAATCCTCTGAAACTGTGAGCCACAGTAAACCCTTCCTTCTTTTGATTGGTTTATTTGAGACA